CACACAGAAAGAAGTGCAATCAGCCCAGAGCTCTTCAGAACAAGTGTTTAGCAGCTGACTGGACCTTGCTGAAACACTGAGTTCACCTGCCTGATTTTTTGTTTGGTGTTTTGTTTAAAAAGAGATTTACCATCTTTCCAGTGATAACACAAGCATTACCTGATACTGCAACTGTATTTGCATAAATAAGCCAATATTCTTAAAGACCTAGCCAAACAGATCTATATAACATATGAAGGATGCTTAGTATCCTATTTTAAGGATGAAGTCTAAAAATAGAATCACTCCAGCCAAAGAACTTTTATCAACTCAAATTATTTTGTCTCAATACTAAAGCCCCAGTAGCATTGTCTTCTCTACAGCATAGCCCTACCTGTAAGATTTATGAAAGACGCAATCTTTGAAATCAGATATGCATTGCATATTACCTCTTTTATTGTATAGTTCAAAGTTCTGCTGCTCACTTTATAGTCCTTTCTAGAAACACACTGACATACTTCATTGTTACAAAAGAGTCCATTGTTCACGTTACTTTCTCTCACTTGTGCCAAAGTTGCCGAAGATTTTTTTATAGGACAGATTACTGATGTCAGGTCATGTACACTTGAGATCAGCAAATGCTGGGAAGAAAACCCAGACCTGGCCAGCATGGCAAGAGCAACAACCATGGAAAAATCTTTCCCACAAAAATGATTTCTGAAGGTTGTGGTTTATTTCTAGAGGTTTTGTTACGAAAACAAATGAAGAATAAAAAGTTATGTGTAGTAACCTCCCATATATGTGAACCTTTAATATGTGATCCTTTAATAAATCAGGTATGCTGAGGTATTTTATTCCACTTTTTCTCCCATTTAACCTAAGGTAAAAGCACTTTACAGAAGCTGCCACATAACATACACAGCTCTCTGGACCCTGAGTTGTTTTTTCATTCGTTTGCTGTCTGTTTGATTGATTTCCCAGTGCAGCAGTCTGGTATAGCGTGGCAGCAGTTCCACAGGATCTGCACGGGTAAAACTGTCTACTTCTAAAGAACATCAGATTTTTTGACATCTCAGGGAGTCTGTTTATTTTCTTTGCCAGGAACACAGGAAATTTCTGAAAGCAATTAAGCCAGGAACAACCCAGACATTGACACCCATCTGTCACAGTAAAGGGAAGTACCTAGATCAATCTTCTAGAATCGAGGTACACACAGAACATGCTACAGCAGCAGTATTTCACCAGCTCAGTCACCACTCCATTTGCCTTTTTTTCCTGGATCTTCTAATTCTGCTGCTCCGGAACATCATTTTATATCTTTTAACCTGCAAGAACCTATAACCCCAGTTTCTTCTTAACCTCCGTATTTGCAGAGAACAAAATAATTCTCATCGGAGACAGGGAATAAAATTACCATCTTCAGAGAAATCTTAAATGGCAGAAAGCTTTCCAGCTGATGAGTATTTCCTGGAGTACCAGGATATTTTATGAATTTATATGAAATACGCCAGCCTACAGAAAGGAAGCAAAAGACTAAGGGCCTGGGGAGAAGCAGCATCACTTAGGCAAGAATAAATTCTTCATTTCAGTTTGGATCACGAACAGGAATGCACTGCTGTAAGCGACCACTAAAATGACTGACTCGAGCCTTTTGTTCTTGTAAATCAAATTTTCCAATATTCTAAAAAGTGCAAGATCCACAGAAAAGTCCAGATCTAAAACACACCATAAGAAATAACAGACTGAAGCTCTCCTTTAGACTCATGCAATACTTGACCCACTATGCCAAGGGAATCCTAAGAAGCAATTATGCCTGGCAGAGCACAGAAAGGATCCTCCCCCCCAGCCCCACCATACAAACTGTCAATTATTCTTACAGGAAATGCAAAAGGTTCAATATATCAACATCTTCATGATTCATCACTGTAAGACACGATATTTTTAGGGAACAAGCCTGGGATCTGAAAGCACGAGTGTCAGGTACTCTGAAGCACTGTTTCAATCCTGTGTGCCACACAGCAGTCACAGAATCATCAAGGTTGGAAAAAACCTCTAAGATCATCAAGTTCAGCTGTCAACCCAACACTACCATGACCACTAAACCATGTCCTGAAGTGTTGTATCTAAATGCTTTTTTATTTTAAACACCCCCAGGGACGGTGACTCCACCACTTCCCTGGGTAGCCTGTTGTAATGCTTCACCCCTCGTTCAGTAAAAAATTTTTTCTAATATCCAATCTAAATCTGTCCTGGTGCAACTCGAGCCCCTTTCTTCTCATCCCATCACTAGTTACTTGGGGGATCAGACCAGCTGCCACCTCACTACAGCCTCCTTTCAGGGAGTTGTAGAGAGCAATGAGGTCTCCCCTCAGCCTCCCCTTCTCCAGGCTAAACAGTCCCATCTCCCTCAGCTGCTCCTTGTAAAACATGTTCTCTAGACCCCTCACCAGCTTCACTGCTCTTCTCAGGACTTCCTTCAGCACCTCCATGTCTTTCTTAAAGCCCAGGCCTTTTGGCAGCATACCTCTCTGATCTCACAGCTAGGTACATCCCTTGCCACCCAGCCAGACCACCTTCTCATTCCAACAATACCCAGATGGAATTTGTCTCTACAACAAATCTCAATCCGTGCTCCTAAGTCTGAAAAGAATTCTCTTGTTTTTTCCAGTCAACACAGGAACTGGTTTCCCAAATGAGCTGCTGCCTGTATCAGAACTCCTGTCCCAAAGATTTTCTTACCTTTACTTCCATGTGTGCCCTTAGTAACAAATCAGTTGACCCATCTCCAAGTACAACCCTGATAACTAAGAAGGCTTTTAAGAGCCTGTTGGCACCTGCCTTATCACCCACCATCCTTACCCACTGCAAGACTCTATCAGAATAGTATCTATGGACTTTATTAGCTTCTGACCAAACAGGCTCTTTTAGGTTCAGCCTACAGGCACTCTCCTTTCCAGAGATGGCGCAATTAAGCTGCAACACCACCAGTGGGTTTTAGTACCTAGAAAAATACGTTAGTTTGGATTACAAAAGTTACCCTGCTAAGGGAATATTGCCCGGAGCTACCAAAATCCACATTAGTTCAACCTCCTCATTTATATTTTTAGGGAACGAGCCTGGGATCTAAAAGCACGAGTACTTTATACCTCAATTCAGTATTAGGTAGAATTGTCAGCAGACTAACAGTAGTGCATCAAACTGACATTTTATTGACCCAATTTAACCACACCCTCTGATAACCTGCACCATGCCAAGAAAAAAACCACACCTGTCCACACCTGACTAGAATTGCACTGCTATATGAACAGAAATAAGCACATACTACCTCAATTGTATTAAAAAGTATGTGTTAATTTAATCATAAATATTTACAAGTGACATTTTTTCTTGTACCACTGCTTTAAACTTGAAAAAAAACCCCACAAACAGTGAAGGAAGAGTCTAATAAATGAATCGAGAGCCATAACATTGATCAATGACTGCAAAAAAACCCCAACCTCCATTGTATTTTTGGTTTTATTTTTAGGGAAATCCAAGAAGAATCCAAAAATAGGGGTTTGACTCTAGACATTTATATAAATCTTGTAAAAGAATTAACATACTCCTTCAATAACATCTGACCATTTTCAAAGTAATCTAGTTTAAAAAGAAAGTATGTAGAGTAAAGTCTGTATAATTTTAAGCTATTTATTTTCTTATTTATCTGTTAGTTACAGTATTCCTTGTCTTATTCAGAATTTATTTCTAGAATAAAATAGAAAAAAGAAAATACATTTTACAACAGCAAAAATTGAAATTCTCAAATTTCATTTATACAAATAGAATTCTATCAGTTCTTACAAAGTACCTGTTTGTTTGTTTTTTTTCATTCTGCTTCATGATATAACCCAAAATTTATTTTCTGTGAAGAAACAGGAAAGTTTATTTTAAGAAAGCTAGAGAACAGACAATTTTGGCCCCACGTGCGTAAAAAAAATAAATAAAAATTGAATGTAGGAAATCACATGCAAGTTAAACACAAAAAAATGTGTAGATTTAAAAAAAAAATAAAATTAATCCAACAAGCCCTTCAAGAAAACCTGGCCAAGATGTCACCAAAACAATTCACCATTTGCAAAACGATTTGTATGTGTAAGACACAAAGCTGCTCTGCCAGAGCTCAGCAAGTCAGCGCACGATGGAATTCTGTGCTGCCGCAGGAGAGGGCAGGCACCCAGCAGTAGCTGTGCCCCATCTAGTGGCTCCCATCGCTGCCTGCTCACGCCCCTTAGCCTACCCAAAAAGAAAGTTTTAGTTAAAAAAAATAAAAATCAAAATTACACTTCTATGACATATAATCGGTGCAAAAATTTGTCCAAACCTTTACTACCAGAGATAGAAAGACCCACTTTATATATTAATGCTATATTTTTCTAATGCAACCTATGAAGTGCCATGTTCTTGAGTGATTTGCTGCAATTGCCATCCAATTCCTGCAAAAGCTGTCCCCCAAAAGGTCATACAGTATTTACTTACAGACAGCACTATATTACACAAATATTTTAAAAAGTCACAGATTCAAGCAATAGAAAATGAACCTAATCTCTCTCAACATAGAGACTATAAAAGATACTACAGAATTTTGAGATTTTTTCACTAACAGACAGTGCCAGCCTCACTCTGGAACCAAGACAATCTATCCAAACTTTCCCAGTGATGCGACCAAAGTGCTTTATTACTGCTATAGCACTGTAGGTTCTATGCACTGCCCTTCTCATAATACAAATAATTATGAAAAATAATACAAAACTAGGAATGAAGGTTTTGTTGCTCTTTATACCTTTATCATGCTTGCATACTGATGAAATGACTATTTCCCTTGAAACATTCTCTTCTGATTGTTATGGTGATCTAATCCAAATCCTTGTTCCCAGAAGTGTACACTTTATTTTCACCTTTGACCACAAAAATTGCACCTTGCAGGTGCCCTGAAAAGGGCAAGGAATCACAAACAACACCATCTGAGAATCACAATACCTTATTTTACAACTGTAGTGTGTGCAAATGATCAGTTCAATGAAATTTAATAGTTAGAAATATTCTTAAACTAAGTACAGTAGGTTATACAGAAAATAACATGGATAATCAATATTCTACCATTTGAAACAAAAACAATAAATAAAAGTTTAAGTATTAAAACTAAGAAAAAATATTCCTGTACATTGTACAGTACCTTTTGGTTAAAGCTTCTTAGCAAAAATATAATGTGTTTTAAGCATTCCAGTTACAGATGGTTCAATATTAAAATTTCAAGGTTTCCCCAACATGAAAAAAATATTGCATTTTTCCATAGGTGCAGCAGAAACTGTCTCTCTCTGAACAAGGCTTCAGTCTTTAAAAACAGTAAGTATGAATTCAAATGAAACATTAGAAAAACTATAATACAGTACTGAGGATGTACGGTTGTTGTGCATCACAGATTTTACATTCCTTCTTATTTTGAAAAAGCAAAACTAGAGAGCCCATTGTATATCACTGAGTTCAGCTGGATCCCCAAGTCCTCCATCAGCCTCCAAGTAATTCATGAGAGCTGTCATAGCTGTGTCATCATTTTCACATATTGCATCGAAGTCCAGCTGAGAATTGCCACCTATAAAAATATTAAAATATAAACGGAAGCAGTATAAAGCATGAAGAACATGGTAACTTTCAAAACATACTTTGTTTTTAAACAACACCCTCCTTTGAAACCAAGGCAAATATTTACATGTTAAAAAAATAATGAAGTAATAGAAATAATGGCTGACTACAGACAGTTCTAAGGACATACATAACTTGATTTAAGAAGACAACTTAACTCTTACCGATCCATTGGACTACTGCCACCTGCTAGCTAATAAATTTGTATTCATGCAATGAAGTTCTGAAGTAGAAAGCTGCTTCCTACACAATCATGCCCCTAAATTCTTATCTCATGTATTACACCGGATGACCTCTTGAAACCTTACAAGTTACTAGGCATTACTTCTAGAAATCAACGCTCTAACCTAGTCTTTAACAATGGTAAGGTAAAGTGCTTTAGCTCAGGCATCAATGAAGAATGTTTCCTCGCCTATCCTGGATTAATGCTGTTGGTTTGGGTGTTTTTTTTCCCAAATCCTTACCTGAGGAGGAGCTTTTTTTTATTATATAAAGGGCTCATAGCTAAACTGCAAGAAAGCTAGACAAATAGATAAATAAAATTTCCAGAAATAAATTTCTAGAAATAAAAGAGGGAGATGGGAAAGTTTCTAAGAGCTGAAGTACACGATAAGCATAAACACTGCCACTGTATTATTTTTAAATTAAAAGGTAATAGTGCTATAAAAGCATTCTCCTCTTATAGGGCCAAGGAATCCTATATCAAGACAAACCACTGGTGATGTATGTGAGGGGGAAGAAAAACCCCCACAACTTCCTTTCTGAAACATTTTGACTAACTCTTTGAATCAACTATTCACAGCTTGCTGTTAAGAAAGAGATAAAAGCACGAAAAGGGCGGTAAAGTTCATAAATCACAACCATTTCCCTTAATTACAAGTATTTCAGTGCAATGTATCTGTCTCCTCTGGAAAGTGAACTAAGAAGCACCTACTTAAAACTGTGGCATGCAACAACGCAACGGTGTACTTCTGTTACAGGATGTTATTTTTGCCATGATTCAATCACTGACCAAATTCTGCCGTTTGCCTTCCAGTGATATCACATCTGTTTTAAGAGAGTCCTCTCATCTTCAGACAGACAAACAACTCTCTTCAAAATGTATGCGTGGTTGTGAAGTGATGCACTCAAAAATTACATCCTTTATCAAAAATATCTTCCCCTGCAACCCCCAAAAAATCTACAAAAGAAATAAATCTTACTGAGGAGAGGTTCATTATTGGGAAATGGAATAGCACCCTGGTTTTGTTCTGAAGTCTCTAGAACTTCTGTTTCTGAAGGACATAACTGAATCAACTCTTTATTTGGCACCTGAAAGAAGCAGTAAAAGGGACAGATTTACATTGTACATTTAGTCATAATTACTACATTAGAGAAACTCCATAAATCACTGTGTTAAGAGCTAAACAGAGTAAATGAAAAATATGCATCAACAGGCAAGATATATTCCATTTAAAAATAATTATTTTAGAAATTCACATAGCACTGGACTTCACTTAAATAAAAGGTGTTAGTTACACATCTGTGAAAGGTAGTTCACAAAGATGGCATCTTCTTTACTGAGGGTCTAATTCAATATTCAGCAACTATGAATTATAAACTTGTATCTTTTTTACTATTCTGCCTCTTGTTACTATCATGATAAAAATCTAAGCAGTTTTAAACTACTTTTTGCACCTCAATAAAAGAGACTAGCAACAAAGAGACTAGCAATGTAAAGCATCCTAACCCAAACATACTTTTTCATTTTTTTCATTTGTTTAATGTAACATACATGCAATTTAACAGGTTAGATTTCTGGGTTGCCTGACTTGTGTGTATTCTACAAGAAAATTAATAAAAGTTGAAAAGCTTTACAGAAGCATTTTAAGAACGAATGGGACACTGAAGCACAGAATAAAGAAAAACCTTTGATGAAAATAATGAAGTTATCCTTACAATGAGATATTGCACAATTTAGAGATTTCAGCAACTAACTCTTAGGGAGAAAGACTCGCTGTAAGGCAGGGAAGAACTGACCACAAGAAACAAAGGGAGGAAGCCAAAACAATCCCTAGTTCAAGTAGTACCTAGTAGTACCTGGTTCCAAGTAGGAAATGAAAATTGCAATGGGAATATAAACTGTCTTTAAATGGTAACAAATTTAAATTCAAAGAAGTGTGGATAGAGGAGTAAACATTTTTTCATATAGTGCACAATATACAACAAAAAATATACTTACACAGAAACACAGAATGTTAGGGGTTGGAAGGGACCTCAAAAGATCTAGTCCAAGCCCCTGGCCATGCTCTTTAGCTATGATAGTTACAGTGTGTGGTGTTCCCAGCACTACTAGATTAGCAAACCAGCACATTCTATCAATTTCACAAAACTACTGAAATACTTGGAAGTAAAAATTTCAAACATTTCAAAATCTAGAACATACAGCACAGATTTTTAGAAGGGTCTTCAAGAACATTAAGATTAAAAGTAGGAGTGAGAGAAAACAAGGACTGGTATTTTATTTAGGTTGTCAAACTGGACACTGGTGGAAACACTTTTAGTCTCCACTGTTTTTTTTTAGCACAAGTTTTAATGCAGCTCCAAATCCAGAAGAGTGCTCAATCACGTGAATCCCACTCATATTTAGATTATTTGCAGAGCTTCAGCAGAGATCCCAATAACCGAGTGGAGCCTGCAGTCCTCTCAGCCTTGGGAACAGCCTCTTAAGACTTAACTGCTACCCCATCAATGAAGTTTGGAACTTCTGCTGCTGTAACATCTCTCAAAAGACGTCCAGGTAGCTGGCAATACCTTAAATATTCTCTCACAAAAAAAACCCAAGTCAGGGTAATTTGGTTCAAACATAGGCTTTGAGCTATCTGACATCAATCTTTTAGATTTTTACAGGCACTGACATACTCACGTTCTTGCAGTTTACAGTTAAAGCTGGAGAAGGTGACTTTCTCAAGAGCTGTGATGGACTTAACTCCCCGGATGGTGAAGAATGCAACCTACAATTGTACATGTTAGTTGATTTACCAAGTCACGTTGATCACCAGCTGAAAAATAGCCTGCGTTGCAGAACCCACCAGACCTCCCCAAAGATGAAGCACAACCCAATCTGAGACAACATTTTCTTAAATTCTCCCACTCCAAGTTTTAATAACACAAAAAGTAGAAGAGATCAATAAAGGTCATGGGTCACAATTACCTGAGCACACTTTTATTTTTCTGTTGAATCACCAGCACTGACAGACTCAAGAGTAACAGCTTTCAGAATTATGCAGACTGGGGCAAGTAGGTACATTTCAAATACGTACAGAATACAGATAACACAAGGAAGTTCTGCAAAATGGTGGAAGAAAAACAACATATCCTTCTAATGCTCCCTCTACTATAATTCTGTGATATCTGTCTTTCCATACTTTCATAAACTTGCAGCTAAAAATAAAGACCACTTGCATGTTACCAGAGCTCTTGGAGATACTGCTCCCTCACCATACATCACAGATATGAAACTAACAGTGGAAGTGTTGTACCGGGGCCCTTTGGACAGCGTGCTCCCGCCTCCCCCTGCTCCCAAAGGACAAGGCTATAGAATAACTGAGGCATTCTGGATGCTTCTGTTTCTGTCACTTCCTAAGACCCAAAATGTGGTAAGGGACTGAATGAAAGTTATAAAATGGATGAATATATAGGCTGTCTTAAGTAAGTCGAGTTATTTGTGTGGAGTATTTGTTAGCTTCCTACATTCTGAA